GCTGCCGCCGCAGACCAACGGGCAGCCCGCCTCCGAGACCATCTACACCAACGGCATCCACCCCTACCCAGGTAACCCTCCTCCCAGCCTGCCCGGGGGGCTCGCCACGTCCCCCCGGGGCCGGGGCCGCGTGCTCGGCTCACGCGGCACCCCGGGAACGTGCCGGATGGTCTCGCCGTGCACCGACGCTCTCGTCTCCTATGAAACAGCGGGGAGCGGCTCTGCCCCTCCGCGGCGGTGCTTGGCCAAGAGCTCTCTCCCACGGGAGTTGCTCATCCCTGGGTTCCTCGTGCTTATTTCTCTCTTCCTTCTCCCGTCTTTTCTCTTCCCAGCTCAAAGCCCCACGGTGGCAGATCCCCTCCAGCAAGCCTACGCAGGCATGCAGCACTATGCAGGTCTCGAACTTTGCTTTGCACTTCTTCCCTCTCTCCCTTCTTTGCTCCTCACCCTGATTTTTGGGAGGTGGACGTCACCTTGGGGGTTGAGCAGCAGGATTGGGGCAGCGTGTTTGGGTACGGATCAAGGTGGTGAGCGTGGGGTGCCGTACCCTGGCAGGAGCTCCAGGGCAGCTCATGTAGTGCACCGTCCCCTGATCCTCAGCAACATGGATGTGCTCCCAGCACGACCCTCCGTGCAAATTTTGGATGGAGGAAAGTGAGTTTTAATGCCCACCGGGCTGAGATAATTCCAAGGGGGAGAGCTGGCAGTGGTACCCAGGAGAGAGGGTGAGGTTTGGGTGGTGATGGAGAGCCGGCTCCATGCTGGATCCTGCCAACACGCCAGCCTGCTGGTAGAGACAGCTGTGGAGGCACATCAGGAATCCTCAGATGTTTGTCACATGGCCGAATCCGATGGCCGGGGAGATGGGTCGCACAGAGAAAGGAGTGAAAGCATCCTGTGGAAGTATGTCGAGCCCAGCAGTTATTTAATTAGGAGCACTAGCAGCGATTTTCAGATTTTCAACAGAATGATCAAGTTTTAGACCCCTAATTGTTGGGTTTTTTTCAACCAAAAGTGCTGGCTTGCCTCAACCTTGAGGCCATATTAGTGCTGCCACCAACGTCCCTCCTGGGAGAGCTGTTCCCGTATCCCTGGCGTGCCGGGAGGCCAGGGCCATGCTGGCAGGGGTGGGAAGGGCAGAGCCAGCAGCCCTGGGGCAGCAGAGGCACCTCCATCGAGGGTGGCAGCAGGGGACATCCCCATCCCCAGCCCTTCCTGACGCTGGGATGGTCACCGGGGCCTCAGCTCCGTGCTTCTCTCTTCCAGCAGCGTATCCCACCGCCTACGCGCCCATCAGCCAAGCCTTTCCCCAGCAAGCGCCCATCATCCCGCAGCAGCAGCGAGAAGGTGAGGGGTTGTGGGGGGCACCCGCCGCGGGGCCGGCGGAAAAATGACCCCCGCCTCGTGGCTGACGTGCGGCTGTCCTTTGTGTGTCACCCAGGTCCCGAAGGCTGTAACCTGTTTATTTATCACCTGCCCCAGGAGTTCGGGGACGCGGAGCTCACGCAGATGTTCTTGCCTTTCGGCAATGTCATCTCTGCCAAAGTCTTTGTGGACCGTGCCACCAACCAGAGTAAATGCTTTGGTAAGTCCCGGTGTGCGGCTCTCCCCGATGTCCTGGCTCGGGGGTCTGGCTGTCCCTGATGTCCTGGCTCGGGGGTCCGGCTCTCCCCGATGTCCCAGCTCGGGGGTCTGGCTCTCCCTGATGTCCCAGCTCGTGAGTCCGGCTCTCCCTGATGTCCCAGCTTGGGAATCCAGCTCTCCCTGATGTCCCAGCTCAGGGATCCGGCTCTCCCTGGTCTCCAGCTTAGAGGTCCAGCTCTCCCTGATGTCCCCAACTTGGAATTCCAGCCCTCTCTGGTCCCCATCTCAGGAATCCTGGCTCTCCCTGACATCCCATCTCAGGGGTCCAGCACTCCCTGACGTCCCAGCTTGGAAGTCCAGCTTGGGCAGCACCAAGAGGTGCTGGAGCAACATGGCTGTCCATCCTGGAGCCAAAAGACAGATTTTTTTGTCCCATGCCGTGCTGGGACAGAGGGCTGTACCCTCTTGCTGCCCGCTTTTACGCTGTCCCATGTGTCCTCAGCCCAGCTGCCCGTGTGCCCGCTGGAGAGGGCTGGCCACCGCTCACCACCGCTGCATCGGCTCACCAGCACGCTTTGGCCTGCAGACCTGTCACCGTGGTGTCCCTGTAGCCTCTGTTAATTTGGTGGCCCCACAAATCCCATCACCTTGGTGTTCCCAGACCTCATCACCTTGGTGTCGATGTAGTTCTGCTCGCACCCCAATGTCCCTGCAGACCCTGTCACCCTGGTGCCACCACAGACCCTGTCACCTTAGTATCTCCACTGACCTGCTCACCTTGGTGTCCCCACAGACCCTGTCACCCCAGTGTCTTTGGAGGTCACCTTGATGTCTCTGCAGACTGTCATCTGTGTCCCATGAGCCTGCACATCCTGTCCTGGTGCCCCCACAGCTGCTCACCTCGGTGTCCCTGCAGTTCTCATTGCTTTGATAGACCTTGTCGCCCCAGTGACCCCACAAATCTCATCACCTTAGTGGCCATGCAGACCACTCCGGTGTCGCTGTGGACCATGCTGGTGTCCCCACAGGCCCTATCACCTCGATGTCCCTGCAGACCTTGGTGTCCCCAAAGATGCCATCAGCCCATCACCCAGTGCCCCCCGCAGTCTGGGGCTGCGCTGTTACGCCACGATCCCCCTCTCCCAGCCCTGCAAGCTGGAGCTCCACCCAAGGCTGCCAGCAGGAGCATCCCATGGGATTTCCATGCCTCCGTTGAACCCGTGATGTTTATGGTGACAAACTCCTGTGCCACCCTGTCCCTCGTCCCCAGGTTTCGTCAGTTTTGACAATCCGACGAGCGCTCAGGCCATTCAGGCCATGAACGGCTTCCAGATCGGCATGAAGAGGCTAAAAGTCCAGCTAAAGCGGCCGAAAGATGCCAACAGACCCTACTGACCCGTGCTCACCCTGGCCCTGCGGAGAGGTGAGGGGGGAAACAGCGCTGGGGGGGCTCCCCTGGCCCCACTGCACCCCCTGCGTTGCCCTTGGGGGACCTGGCAGTGGGGCTGGGCTCACCTGAAGCATCACAAGTGCCATGTTTTCTCCAAAAAATGTCCTTGAGTGTGTGTGTGGGGGTCTCTGCGCCCGTCGGCGTGTGTGGTTCAGACTGGGGTTTGGGTCTCGCTCTCCGTCCTCCCTCCCTCCTTCCCCCAGGACACAGGCTGACGGCCCCTTCGCTGTTTTGCAGGTCGGGCGTCCTGCGGTGTCTGACGACTTTCCCCTTCCCCAAGTGCAGTATCCAAACCCGTAACTCTCTTTCTTTGCAACGCATCCCGGAGGAGGGAAGAGGAGGAGGAAGACGAAGAAGAAGAGGAGGAGGCGATGGAGAAAACGGCGAAGAAGAGAGCCATTCTGGTCGTAGCTTTTCTTTTTTTTGATATTTTTTTTCCCAAACCGGTCTTGTTTGTTACTTAACGGGAACAAGAGAGCGAGGAAAGACGAGGAAGGAGGAGAACGATGCAGCTCCGGGGCTG